AACGTTTGAGATTTCTGTCACGGCTTCTTTTATTCTTCTTTATTGAGTCAGGCTGGATCACCTTCTCCTCCTGCAGCTTCCAAACATCCACGCTCTCTGCTTCTGTTCTCCTTTTGGACAAAATTATTACAGCCTCTCTCCTCTTGTTTGGGCTGCAGCCTCCCAATGTTACGGACTCTTTGCCTTTTAAAGGTTTTTCAACAGCACATTTCATAAAAACTAAGTGGACTAACTTTTTGTGATATCGCCAAGAAAATAGTTCTGATTGAAGGAAATCACGGTCAAATTTCCACCTATCATCTGGATTAATGTAAGAACCGATTACCTATCCCTTAAACAGATCTTAAATCCATCTTTTTCTAGCTGCTCCTCCTTTATTACATTTATTTCCTCATAGTTATTCATGAGAATTTAGATTTTTCTTTCTCTTCTATCCGAACAGGAGATGGAGGACCTGGAATCAGCAATTCATTTCTATGTCATGTATTTGTTTTGCCCAGCTACTGAACCAGGAGAGTCCAATCTGGTTTAACCTGTGCAGATTAGACTCACCTGGTTCAGGATCTTGGCAGAAAAAATACATGACATAGACCAGTTGACTCCAGATCCCCCATCTCTGCTCCGAACTGACAATTCAACAAATAAAAATACAAAGACAGTATAATCTTGGTTGTTTGGGTTATTTTAAATTTTGCAGGTTTCTGCCCGATCACAGATTACTGATCTTTAAAGAGCCTGACGGGCCGACTCGAATTTTGACCTTTCCCACTTTTTTTCATTCTTTTGTCATTTGTTATAATATTGCATCTTTTCTCAGGGAAAAACATTAAACTAGGCCTGTGGAACAATAAAAAAATGTGTTTAACATCGCTTAATGGCAAATATAAATCAAAGTTTACAGTGGTTTGTTTTAAAACCTTTGCAGAGGAGGATGAGATTGGTGGATAGGATCCAGGTATAGGCCAATCACCGAAAAATCCACACCCAATTGGCCTGATCAGTCCATGCATCCCCGTCTTTTAACTAACAAGTTAAAACATTTCTTATGAGGTTTTTGTTTGAATTAGAATGTGTGAATAGGTTTTGTTGTTCATGTGGAATAAATATTGTTTGATTTTAAAATGTAAGCACAGGTCCTTTTATTCTACTTTTCGATGCCCAACTTTTCCTCATGTCACTGTCGTGGTGTGGTTTCGGGGTTTGTGGACCAATGTGCAAAATATTTATTTACTAAAAGGAATTTACAGATGAGTCAATATCATGGCGGCTGGCAGGGAGACAGAGAAGAACAAAAAGCTCAAATGCAGGATGAAACGAAGGGGAGCAACGCAGAGGATTGCACCAGTAAAGGAGCAGAGAACAGTGCTGAACTGAATCTACTAATTACTGAGTGACTGACTGTGGGCCTGATGTTTAAATGTTTAAACAGAAGGTGCATTTCGATTAACCATCAAATCGCACAAATATTCCAAAAATAAAAAATACTGCAGTTAAAAAAGTCTATTATTCAATTCTAAGTTTTACGCTTCAATTATGAAATTTTTTTGTTATATTTCTTAAAACTGGGAAGACCAGATTCGTCGGCCGATCACGTCATAGCGTGGCTCCGAGGCCTGTTGGGATTGGAAGACTCCTTGTTATGCGGTCAACAAGCGCAGTCTTCTTTTTGCCGGTTTTGAAGGACAGGTCTGCTGTGTTCTCTGTAGCCTTGGGTATCCCATGATTCATTGCGAGTCCAAGCAAGCCAGCTGCTCCATGCTCTGAGAAAAAAGCAGAATGGCGCCAAACAGTGGTGAATATTGGAAGTGCAGTTTAATATAAAACAAGTATGTGAAAAGTTCCATATAAAATTTATGAAAATAGTTGTTTAAATGGTTACTGAGTCAGATATGTGGCAGTAATGTTTGGTTTATTGAAAGGTTTGATCTGTCCATGTGTAAATGGGTTTGGCTGACATTTAAGCTCAGATTCTAATATTTTTGCAGTGTGGGGACAATAAATCTGATATCTGAGATGATAGTACTGCTGCTGAAGATCCTCAAAAATGTTATTAGCACCCAAAACGGTAATGAGAAGATCAGCATCCACACTTTGCCTGCTAGGTGTGTCAAGTGTCTGGTTGCTAGGCGACAGAGTGTACACTAAAGTGAGAAGTCTGGACCTGTTTGAATCCATAGCCAAACTCTTCCAGCTTCCTTATTTTCACAATCAGCCGCTGAAATCAAACACACCTGTGATCCCCCGCTGAACTTTTTTTTTTCTAGTGAAAAGACGAAGAAGAATGGACCTGTTGGGGGAGGGGCGCCCTCTAGAGCCTTGGCTGAATTATGGATATATCTCATTTGTTTACATCCATGTTGTTTTCAGCGTTATCGCATTAAAAAATGTATTCACTGGCAATTTGAATAGTATTTGTTATTTATGGAATGCCTCAACTTTGTATTTTCAAATTTATCAGAACATGGACAATTTATTCAAGACCAAATAAATGTTGAATTATTCATAAATAATACTTCTTAAACACTTTATGGTTTAGAACAGAAATGTATGGTATAACCGACTTAAGGATGTTTATGTTCATTCTGGTAATTAATGTCGAGTAGATAAAAAGGAAAGAAAATTCAGCCAATCAGGGATGGAGAAAAGTGTTTGGATCATTTATGGTATTTGATAAAAATGTCATAATTTGATTCGGTTGCAAATTAAAGGGGGAGTTTTCATTTTTGACATTAGACCAAAACCTTTATAGTATGTTTTAGGATGTTTAAAACAAATTGGTCCTAAATTCCTCTGGGTAGTCAGCAGTGGTTAAAAACCACAGCTGTCCATCAGACGTGTCTCCCCCACTAATTTCTATTTTAATCTCCCCCAAACTTTGCCCCCCCCACCCCCATCTATCCTCAATAAACTCTCCTTTTTCCTTTTCTGCTGGAGGTGTGTGTGTTTAATCTGAGGTCCTATGAATAACATGGCTATGTGTGTATATTTGTGTGTGTGTGGGTGTTTGTGTAAATATGTAAGGAGATTAAATGGACTTAAATCTCTGCGTCTGGCATAGAAATTCCAATCACATAACCTATCAGCGAGTTTTCCCCTCCTCCCCGTCTCTCTATGTTTGTCTTTGTGAAATATGCGCACAAACTGTATGGAGGTAGCAGACTCCGCCCTTCCACCTAAACCGTCGCAGGCTTTAGCCCAAATCCCTGGCTTTCTGAGTCACATGACTGATGTTTGCAGCTGGACGTTTGACATACATTTGTTATGATTATTTTTTGCAACACGTATGAAGAGCGGTCCCACCCTCTGAACTTGTTTTCTTTTATTGCAACAGAGGGAACCTCCATCACATGTGATAATACAACCTATAACCCAGTTTGAAGGAGCGAAATGTGAAATACAAATATTAAACATTGTCCGACTGCTTTCATTTATAATAAATAATCTTTAAAAGTTAGAAACTACAAAGAAATACTTCTTGGTATTTTTACTAAGAATCTTTACTAAGAAGCTTGTTAATTTGATCTGAATCCATAAAATATATATTTTTTTAAATGTTCGAGAAATGGGTAAATACAGTTTCTTTATAATTGTTTCATTGTAAATTAATTTCATCAGATCAATGAATTACTAAATCAATCTATAGCTTTAGCCCTAAATGTTGTCTTAGTTTTTCAATAGTTGCACATACATATATTCATATGGAGTTGATTTTGTTCCAAAGACAGAGATAAATTAAATTAGTCCAATTGTTCCAATTATTGTTGCAAGGAGACACTTTTTATAAATCTGAGAAAAATTTAATTCAGAAATGTATTTTTGAGAAACCTCATCTTAAAAACTGGTTTTGTCTTTAGCTTTTTCTGTTTTTTCAGATTCAGTTTTTTTTTCAAATTATTTAATTTCTTTTTTTTTTTTTATGTTCCCACATCCCCCTTCTTTAAATTGTGAAGAGAGGATTAAAGACACATTTATTTTTTTGTGTGCCGGACGTTAGCAACAACAGTTTTGCGGGGGAAGAGGGAGCGTTTGGGTTGGGCCTGAAGTGAAGCGAATGTCATCGTTAAAACAAGACCTGAAATAAATGCAGTTCGTGAAATTTCATCTGAAAACCAAAAATTTGAAAAAACATTATTTAAAATGATAAATGCCCTAAAAGCGATTTGAAAAAATAAAATATGAAAAGTAGAATAATTTTGTCAAAAACCCATTTTTTTAGTTAAAGGTTATTTAAAACTTAATTTCTGGACTGTATTTATTTTCTATTTTTCATTGACAAATATGTTTTTTGCCTTAGAAAATAATGTAACAAAATTCACTCCATACATCAGTGGTACAAAAAAAAACTTTGAAAGGACATAGATTGTTCTTTTTAGTTTGTATACTAAAAGAAAGAAAAAAAAATGAAGCCCACAGTAAACCTCTCTGGTCAGCTGGATTTCTGCTAAAATATAGTTAGGAAAAAAAGGTCAAAGTATATTTGAACCATTTGAAAGCTTTTTAAATCTTTAGTAAACATAGAAAACAGCTGAAGTTCATTCTGTTTGTTTTTTCTGGTGTGTTCTCTCAGTTTACATGAGTGATGTCATGAAGACCACATAACCCAAATAGAGAGCAAGACTTTTAGGGCCTAAGACTAAAACTGCCCCACACTTAATGTTGTGATCAAATATATATATCTGCAGAGCTGCAAATGGCTCTTTGGTTCTGCATCTCTCTTGATATACCAATCGATTAAGTATTAATTATAATCGATTCATCACACTTACAGTAGAGCTCAAAATGAAACCACAGAGTTTAAAAGTTCATAGCTCACAATGTTTGTTCTTACACTGTACAGCTCGACGCTTTGATGCGATCTACCTGCTCACACTGTACGTCCAGAAACCACAAGTCGGACTCAGCGCTGAGAGATGGCGCTGGTCGGACTCGTCAATAACCTAAACCCACCTGCATGGTGTGCACCTGTCCTCCTAAGTCATTATGTTTGTCTGTCTCTGCAGTACACAGTGAGGATGCTAGCTCTACCAGGCTCTACTTTGTAAACGCCTCCCTGCAGAGGGTAACCTACTCCAGCTCAGTGGGGGTGTCCCTGCCCTGTCCTGCAGGGGGCACCCCCAGCGCCATACTGCGCTGGTACCTGGCCACTGGTGACGACATCTACGACGTGCCCCACATTCGCCACGTGCACGCCAATGGCACCCTCCAGCTGTACCCATTCTCGCCCTCGGCCTACAACAGTTACATCCACGACAACGACTACTTCTGCACCGCCGAGAACCAGGCGGGCAAGATACGCAGCCCGAACATCCGCATCAAAGCTGGTGAGTAGAAGCAACACTGTGGTTTAAGCAGAAAATAGAGCAGAAGTGATTGACAAAAGCCCAGCCCAAACGGAATCACCTGTCCTGAAATAGCCTGAACACAGGCTGACCTAGAACACCGTCTGCAGAGAGAACATGTGCACCAGGCACCACATCAGGCCTCGCACCTATCAGACACAGCTGGTGATTAGGCTGCGCACTTTACTCTTACATTAGCCCTTTAGCTTCTCCATCTGGTGAATAAGGTCCAAAAAAAAACTTGACTTCTTTTAACGTCCTAAATTCGTCCAGGTTAATAGAGATGCTGGGAGAATTTCCTGTCAACTGGGAACTGGTCAGAGTAGACCGAAGGTTTTATCAGGGGATTTTCACAGTGGCCCAAATACATTAATGTTTAGCAAATAGAAAAAGCACTGCAAACAGATTACTGCTTACAAACACAATAATTAGACAAAAGACATGAAAAGATCAAATGCTGCAATGAGTGAATAAAGAGTAGCAAAGACAAACAGATATTAGAAATGACTATAAATTAATGTCTGTGGACCAGATCCTTGGTAAAAACATCCACAGGATGCTGTCCTGTTCTCTAGTGGAGTCTGGAGCTTGTTCAGCATGCAGTGTTAGTTTGTACTTTATCTTAACTTGCTTTTACTGGCAGAAATTTTCCCTTGTGGTATTTCTTTGCAACATTTATGTGTTTGCGGCATGTTTGCACTTTTCAGTTATGGCAGTAATTCTCTTTTCAAACTTTTTTCCTTTGCATTTGTTTTGTGTGTTTGTTTAGTTTTGTGTGTTCGTAGTACTGTTTTTATTTGCTGTGCATTCAGGTATTTGCGATATGCTTGGAACTCTATTTTTTTAAATATATCACTCGGTAATAAAACAAAAACATATATATATATAATATGTAGAATATGTATAGAAGGCTCTAAAGCTGTACATTGTATTTACTGTGGTATCAGTATCTGTTGTCTTAATAACTAGGGGACTGCCTGGGTGGAAAATCAGATTTTCTTCCATTTTTCAGCTGCTGTAAATACAAACCCTGCTAACAAGCAGTATTCAGCCATTTTGGTGGACTGTACTGTTTAAACAACAGGCAGAACATTGTTAAACATTGAAAGATTGCATTTTTTTCACAGCACAATATGGAAAAGACGCCAGCGGCGCATAAACAGCCAGCCTGGAGTGCAGAGAAGGAGCTCATGCATTTAAAATGCAGGTTGAGAGTAGTTTACTCTGTGTTTTTTAAATAAACGTGTGCCTATAAGTATTTATTACGTATGTTGATGATCTCTGACCCCATATTGGTCATATTCCACAAGGAGAAAGGCTAAATTTAAGTTAGATTTCTGAAATAATTATTCTTTATAGAGGTTTATATTGACAAGGAGTCTATAAATAATTGTTACCCATTTTGCACTGGGTGAAAAAACAGTTTAAACCAAGGATTAATGGGGTTTTAGTGGGAGTAGGAACCTCAGCTCTGATCGGCATGCTGTGGGAATTCCAGAGCCAGGTTGATGCACTAAATTACGTGATGCCTTTGAAAGCAACGTACGTACATAAACACACCGCGCCAGTCGCTGCTGATCCAACAAGCAAAAACAACTGTTTACATTCGTTAAACATGGAGCAGCTCTGGTGAGAGGGATTCAGACAGATAATAGAGAGAAACCTGGCTTCCTTGCATGTTGCTCTCCATTGTTTACTTTCCTGATTTCTGTCGCACTAATGACATCATCAACACCAACCAAGTGTGATGATATCACCAGACACGCAGCTGCAGGGGTTCAGAGGCCATTCAGCTGCCAGCGAGGGGTTGGATCAGCTTTTATTGCAAGTTGCAAGGGAGTCAAATACCGATATTACCATTAGTGGATCTACCCATGTTTGAAAAACACACGTTAACTCACTATTTTCAGTGGAAAAGAGGCTATACAGAGTGATAGTATTTTTTCCATTATTAATCGGATACAAAAAGGTTGCTTAAAGAGCATTTTTTACAGTATATATACCAAGTGAAGCTAAAACTCTATCCAGAACTCCTCAAGTTCTGGATAGAGCATTTTTCACGGACAAAAACATTTTTTTTTATCTTAAATGCCAAATGTTTATATATATTTTTTTAAATGTTGGTATGATTACTACTCTAAGTGGGTCTCTATACTCCAGTTAACGATGAATCAATTACTAAAGTAGTTGACAGTTATTTTGATAAACTATTAATCATAATTAATCCAATTAATTGTTTCACCCTAATTTCAATGGTAATTTAAGCTGGAGTCACAGGATGATAAGAAGCGTCAGGTGTTTTTGCACAGTACCAGTATCGGATCGGTACCGCCGGTACCAGCCTGTCTTTTGCTCAGAATGGATTTGGAAAGGACATTGATTTTTAAACATCATCAGTGTTTCTTGCTTCTCTTTCTTAGCAGCCTCAGTCTGTTTCATAGCTTCTCCTATAGACACATGTCTAGAGCTGTTTCTTATTCACTTATTGTCTCTACTTCTGGTTATTTTGTCTTTTTATGGTAAATAGACATAAATCGTTGTTTGCTAAAAAATAGAGCAAAAGCAAAGTGTAAAACACAGAAAAAAATATATTTATTCTAACAGGCTGCCATTGTTTTATTAAGGGTCCTCCAGAATGAGCAACTAATGTAGAAATTGATAAGTTTATAGTAGATGACTGGCCCTTCTATTTCACAAAATAACATTTCTAATAATAATACTCAAACTTTTTTTTTTTTTTTTTAAATCCCATGTTCTTTCAGGAAAAACAGTGTTCCGGTGTGGCCCCCCGACTTTAAAACAAATGTTCCTCTTTCATTTTCTAAATTCTGTCAGCCTATCAGATACCTTAATCTGTTCGGCACAGAACTTATTGATTTATTTCACAAACACCAGAGAAAAAAACTTTCCCATTGTACATTAGACTAAAGATCAATCATACTGCAGCGCTCTAATTTTGGACTCGACGTTGGAGCTGTTGGTGTTTTATTTCCCTTCCCGTTTCCTCGTTTTAGCTTCCGATTGTCGCCCCGTTGCGAGCTTAACATGCTTTTGTTGTGCTCCTTCATAAACAGATCAATCAGTGTTTCCTCGTTAAGTTTTTTTTTTACTGCTTTAATAAGCTTGATTTAATCTAGAATAAAAAAGGAGATTTTGAGTTTTCGTGTCCTCCAGGAAAAGAACCCAATGAACAGAAAGTTCAGACACTCAGCTGGATTATCTTTAAACCGTGTCCATTGTCCCGCTCTGTACCCTGCTCCTGTCGTTCATCAAGGCCACTTTGGTTCCTCCCCCTTCCCTCCAGCCATCAACATCTGTTTCCATATTCTGCCTCCCAACACAGGCCTGAACTAATACTCATATTCGTTCTAATACTAACACAAGCGCCAAGTGGGGGATTTGAGCCGGGACCCTGACCTACACTGCAGCCGGTTTGCTGCCTTCATTCCCACATGACCAGAAAGCCGAGCCTCAGGAGCCGAGGGGGGGATTAGCATGAAGCAAACATCCTGCCGCCAGTGGCCTGTGCCAGGGCCTGGCAGTGATGGTGATCGGGTCACAGTCGGACATAATGTTGATTTTTATTTTCTTCTGGAGGGTTTTGCTCTTCCTCTGCCAATGAACGGTGATAGGCGAGGAGCGCAGGACTGCGTCACGCCGCTAACAGCTAGAATTCAATCAAAGATTCCCGATAAGTTTAAATATATTCATTAAGACAAGAACCAAACCGATCTGAGAGGTCTAAATTATCTATTTAAAGGAGATGTAAATTGCTGTGCACGGTTTCCCCTTTTGCAGCCGAGAATATATGCATACCATCTCCGTGTCTGTTACCAGGCAAGGGATTCCGAACCAGTCTCTTAGCAACCTTCAGATACATCCTGGCTTTCATGTGATTTGGCTAATGAGCTCCTGCTCATTCAGCTGAGTGTAAAATATTGCCCAAACCTGCATAAAACCAAAGCAGCAGATAAATCCCAGTGGGTTTTGAACCTCTGTGCATCGTCTCCTTGTGAAGTTCTGTGCACAACAGTGAAATAGATCTTTGGTTGTGTTGTTTAATGGCAGCCTGAGCTTTATATGATAAAAGGGCTGATGTGATTAAAAGAAAGTTGTGATACTGAGTCATTAATCAACAAACCTGGTCAAAAAGGTCGATTGTGCCTTTAAAACCAGAAACTCGAACATTTTTGTTTATTCAAGCATTTAAGTAAACTGCCATATTTTTTAAAGGTGTCACCTTCTACCCATTATTACCATCTTCTTAAATCTTCACGATGCCATGCAGTCCAACAAGCATCTAAAACCTTTTAGAGACAAACGGCCCAAAGCATCACAGATCCTCCTCCACACCTAACAGAGGGATTCAAGATTCCACCTTCAAACCCACCTGAAGTGTTTGTAGCTTTAAAGCTCACAATTCGTCTCATCTGGCCAAAACAAACAGTTCAGCAAAGTTTTATCAAACATCTCTGTTGGCAATCATTAGACAGAAAAGTTATTTTTTGTTCTTTTAATCACCCACAGAAAAAACTGTTTTATATCAACTGCATCTTCTGGTTGTTATAGCAGGATGATGCAGTTTTAGCCTTATTGATTTTAACATTTCTCTTCTCTTTTCAGCATCATAAATGTTTCTGTGTTTTCATAGTTGTACTGTGGGGGAACAAAAAGTTATAGATTACTGATTATTAAAACTCTGAACATTACACACTAGCTAAAAAAATCCATTATAACAAGCTTTTTAGGGTAATAAAATCCATGCCTGCTCTTTTTAAATGCAATGTTTTTAATGTAGCGCTTTTACTTACTTTAATGAAAGGTGTTTTTGTTTTTTTGTAAAATAATGTTTCTCCATCTGTAGTTTTCAGGGAACCCTACACTGTGCGGGTGGCCGACCAGCGCTCAATGCGGGGCAACGTAGCAGTGTTCAAGTGCCTCATCCCTGCTGCCGTGCAGGAGTACGTCAGTGTCGTGTCATGGGAAAGAGACACCGTTTCCATTGTTCCAGGTAGGAAATTTAAAAAGCCAAATGTTTAATGCTCTGGCTCCTTGGTTGTGCTTATGTCTTCATCCTTTATGGCTCTGATTTTGTGGGGGGGGGGGTTTGATGCAGCGCTCTGCTTGACCGAACGTGTGTCTTCTGTCTGCTTACCGTTCTGGACCACTGATCCGGTGGCCTTCATCCTTCTCCTCTTCCTCCTCCTGTTTTTCCTTGACCTTTCCCTCTGTCCGTCTATCTTCTCACTGCTTTCCTCATGGTGTTCAGTTTTCTCCAGCTAATGTCAAGTCCTACCTTTAATTGAGCTTGACACTAAAGAAAACGAGAGACACACTCACTTCCAAAAGTCCCACAGTTTCTATTTCTGTCCTTTCCCTGCTTGTCTTTCCACCATGTGTCCTTGAAGAACAGGGTCACAATTAGAGACACAGGATGTCAATAGGACTGTGCCCCCACATTCATCTTCATTAACCTCGTTTTGGTGCGAGTGTGTCTGACGGAGCTGCTACAGAAAAAGCTGAGCTGGATGTCTTGCAGCACATTTTGTATTTTAATGTTTATGTTTGCGATGGGTTTGTGTTTCTGGGTTTATTTGTGCTTTTAAAACCACTGCAGGCTAAGCTTAGAAGAGAGAAATGAGCGGGATAGAAGAGAGATGCAAAGAGGGTAGTAGGCCAAGAATGGCCTTAGGTCCTGAAGCAGATGGTTGTTTTTTTTTTCATATGTATGCACAAACAAATACATACCATGTTCCATATGTACATGATATCCATCAGTGTTACATTTGGTGGTTATTTCAAGTCATTTGATCTATTTTTTATCAGTTAGCTTTGCGTTTTGGATGCTTGGAGTGAAGGGGGAACATTGATGATACGGAGGTCAAAAGATAAACATTGTGATTGATGCTGCTGAATTTATCTTAGAGATATCTGAGTAGAAGTCATCTGTGTTACTGATCTGTCTTCATGTGGTCGGTTCTGTTTTTCTTTTATTTCACCCTTTATGGGGTGAGATAACTGTCATGATCACAAATCATATATTGTTCAATAGGAATCCCACATTCTGAGTATGAAACAACAGCCCCTAAAGAAGCTTTTAACTTTCCTTACCAGTTGGTGGCAATAATGCACCTGAAAGTTGTTCTCAACCACTTTCAATCGAGAAGAAGATCAACTGAACATTATCCTGCGTGTGTTGGAAACATCTCAGCAAAGATGTCAAACTTACTGGCTCCCTTTTTCATTTATCCTGAAAAGCATGTCGCTAGGATCCCTGCAGCATGATGATACCACTGCCATGCTTTATGCCATAAATTGTTTTCTTATTGTCTTTTCTTTAAAAGTATAAAATGTTCAATTATATTTAATGGAAGTCTGCAAGGACAAACATCCAAAAGAGGGGAATAGTTTTTATCGGCTTCGTGGATCTAGTTAGGATGTGTGTGTATTTATGGTTACTGTGTACACTGTTGTTGGGCTGCTGTGTGTAATTAGGGGTATATAGGTCAGTTGATGAGCAGTGAGTGTGAGAATCAGATGCCGGAGAAAATGAGTTGCACGCTGAGCTCATGGTTTATTTTTCTTCCATATCTGAAATAAAGCAAATTCTTCCAGTGAACAAACACACAGGAATGCTAAACCTTTATACTTGCTTCCCGAACCCTGTCTCTCTGGTGCTGCTTTTTCAGCAAGGCTCTGTCTGGACAGATCTAATGAAGATGTGAAAATTAAAACTGATTTTTTTTTTTTTTTTGTCTTTTTCAACTAAAAGCTCAGTGCATGTGTGTGAGCGGCTGATTACCTGTCTTGCCCGTCGCAGTCCTGTCAGCCGGTCTTAAGACGCACAGCAGGAGGTGTTATAGCTGATCCGCAGAAAGCAAATCCACTGTGTAACAGTGAACACATCTGCTTTTTCTCTCCTACCAAAGTCAAGTCATTTATACCCCTTTCCCTCTGGACAAAAAACCTGTTTAAACCCAGGAACAATGGGCTTTTAGTGGCAGTGGGAACAGCTCACTGATGTGTGTCTACCCGGGTCAAGCGACTCGGCACACGACCCGCGTTAAAATCGGCTCTGATCAGCATACTGTGGAAACACCAGAGCTCTAAAATACATAATACCATTGGACACAACGTAAGGACGTCAACAAACGCACCAATCACTTCTGATCTAACATGCAGAAACTACTCTGTTTACATTAGATAAACATGGAGCAGCTCTGGTGAGAGGGATT